TAATTCTCCTTCTTCTTTACGTCCTCTTTTACCACTTCGGGTGTCGAGGGAATATGTCCTATTCCGTGCTATTCTGGCTGCTTCGACCATAGACATATCATGGTGCTGTAGAGTTTCTCTGATGTTATCTTTCCATCTTATCCTTGGTCTACATCTTGCTGTATGTCTTTCTCTTTTGGTGTATGCCTTGGATGGTATAGCATCAGAAGACATTCTCTCCAACTGGGCAAACCATTTGATTTGCTGCTTTGAATGTAATTTAGAATTGGTTCTGTGCCGAAATTATCTCGTATGACCTCATTCCTGATTTTATCTCTCGTGGTCACTCCTACAGTCTTTCTCAGACACCTCATTTCCATGGTAACTAATTTTCTTTTATGTTTTGTTGTGAGTGGCCACGTCTGGCTTTCTATGACATGTCTCTTTGTGCTGATTGGGATTGCCTTATGCTGTAAGAGGCGAGCTAGCTTTCCCAATGCTTGACCTGCTTTACTGCATCAGATGTTTATTTCTTTGTCCAATTCCCATCTTCAGTAAATGTTGTTCCAAGATATTTAAACTTAGATGCCTGTTTATTATGCGTATGCTCTAATGCTATATTTAAATGCTGCTTCTTTCTTCCTGTTGACATTACTGATGCCTTTTCGATGTTGATTCTCACATTATTTAATTACATTCTTCATTCATGGATGTGAAATGCTGTTGTAAATTCATGGCTGTATCTGCAATCAAGGCCTGGTCATCAGCAAAGAGTAATTCCTTGATGTTACTTATATTTGTGTTCTTGGGTTTGGCATCTTTGCTTTTACTGTCAATGAAGGTGACAAACAGGAGTGGTGATAAGACAGATCCCTGTCTCACTCCAGATGTTACTTTGAATGGTTGAGATGTTCCCTGATTTATTCCACTTCAGCCCTTGTTTATCAATGAATGTAATCAAAGGTGTTGTTCCAGTAGTTTTTATAACTACTATGTGTCTCAAATGACCTTTTCTAGTTTCCTTCAGTCTTTCTCAAGCAGCTCATTTCATAGGTGATCAGTTTTCTTTCATTTTCTTCAGTCAATGTTTAAGTCTGACCCTGACAGCACAAGATTGGTATGAAGATTGCATTCATAATATGTCTTTTTGTCTCTATTGGTTTACAGCTATAGACTGGGACAACAGGAGAAATATTTTAAGGGCTGGTTGATGGCTTAAAACAAATATAAATCTATACTGCATTTCATTTATTAAATAGGGTATTTATTATACAGTTACAAATTTGATGCTTGGAGGTAAAAAAAAAAATGATATTCACAGTTGTAGCATTTTTTTCTGAGAGCCAAAGTGATGTGATAACTTCTCTTTAAAATCTCCATGTGGTTTCCACCATAGATGCTACATGAAAATATTTTCATCAGATCGCCAGAAAATGTCCACAAACTATAACTTCTGTGAATCACAGGTTGAAAAAACATGGCTGTAAAGGATGTGCAATTTCTTCTTCAGCATTCTGAGCCCTTCAGGGTTTACTGCTGCAGATATCAAGTACCTCCATTCATCTCTGTAAGTGGCTCTCTCTTTGTAGTTGGTTGCTCCTACAAGTATTTGCAGGGTATGCAACTATTTTAATACATTCTTTTTCTAAGGATACTATAAAGTGTACAAAATGGAATTGTGTGTGTGCTGCTGAAGTTCATCCCTTGCAAGTGGTGGTGATGATGACCAGTCCCTTCATCTGCTAGGAGGTTTATGGGTGCTCCGCTGGCTGACAAGGCCAATCCTGGCAAAGAAAGTTCTTGCACAATATGGGCGTAGGATTAGGGCCAGAAGAGTTTGGGATCCAGTTTATAGTCCTTTTCTGATTCATATTCTTTAACTGCTACTGTTATTCTGGCTGTTTCACATCTTGCTGCTCCCCAGGGAAGAGATAAGCACTAGGACAAATGGGGGTGTGCAACAGGCTCCCACATATTGAAGGCCAACAGTTATCAACAAGATCTTTACACTGTAAGTAATGTAAATAGATGTAAACAACAAACAGCTGATAGCTGTAATGACACACTATCTTCACCAGAATTTATTCACAAAAATTAGTCCTGAAATATCACATATGACAGAAGCAAACCACTTGATATGAATATAGTAATATTACATAAGTCTACTAATCACTTACTTTCACTATGCATGATGCTGCATGTTGTTACAAATATAAATCAAATACCAGAACAGTTAAGTAGTATGATGTGTTGTATTCACCACCAATCTTTCACAGAAATAACTAGTCTTTTTTTCTCTTATAAAACTAAATAAAGAATGTAAACATTCTTAAAACAACAACAACTAAAAGTAGATTACAGAGCAATTATGAATTTGTTACATGCTTCCAGTGAGCACCAACAGAAACAAAAAATTTCGATTGTTGAAAAAAGCTGCTTTAGAGTCCACACAAAGTAATTATTTGTAACTTTCTTAAAGTAAAAAATTTATCTACTCAGACATTTTCTCTATTTCTTAGGATTCCAATCTTTGTGCTCCTAATGTATTAATTAATGATCTCTTTTATAACCACATTCATCCTCAGGCTTTTTTTTTTTGGTTGGTACATAGGGTCCAAGTTTTTTTCTTTCAGAGCTACAATAATAAACATTTTGTGGCAAATACCTAAATGAGTACCTGCATGTTTTTCGGATACTTTATGATGAGTGCAAGCACCTTTTTCTAAAAAAATATCTCACATATGCTCCTTTTCATGCAGACAAACACCTAGCATAATTAATATATGTCAATTAGGCTTCACATACATGCATCTACAATGTATCAGATCAATTACATAGGAAGTTTCTAATTCAATAAATTATCTTTCCTCATGTAAAGTAAGCTAGTTGTAGAACCAACCCCAGCATACTGTTGGCTGTTTGAGGTGTCAATAGGCTATCTGACGTTAATAGTTTGTCACAGCTTCATGACATGTCAGCTATAATGCAGCTGAACAAAATAAGAAGACCAAAAGATAACAGGAAGTATGAGGAATAATTAACTCTACATTTTCAGATTAAAATAAAATAAGTTTTCTGCAAGAACTTTAAAAAAAATGGCTTCTGAAATATCCAGAGACAGATACATCACAACCATATTGCTCCTCATCTGATGGGTTGAAGTGATTAATTTCAAACGTAGATGCAAACTTTCAACTTCATGAAACAGGTCCTTCCCATAACATCACTCATAACATGGCCCACAGAAAGACTTTGGCTCTATTACAGATTCCCTTGCCTCACCAGATTTCTGTACTGAAGAATGTCAGTATTTGTCTTCTTCTTGATCCCTGGTATAAGGAGATTTTCCTCTCGATGTTTAGGTTCTATGGCCTCATTTTTAGGGGTGAAAAACAACAGAACCATTGCCCCTTAACTTGTTCAGTCCCACAAGGTCTTAGAGATAAAGTCTGAGTAAGTTAAGAATGGCAGCACTAAACTCATGGGTATACTACTTCCATAGGAGCCAAATATACAGCAAAAACATGTTTTCAGTGCTCTTCACTAAACATACATAATGATTGCTACACCTGAATAAAACCAAATCAGGCATAGTGTTTTGTCTGGGACAGAAAGAGTTTACAAGCATGTTGTGAGAGGCGGCTAATTAAGATTATGCTGAAACCAGATATGTCGGACTGAAAGGCCCAGATATTGTAGCCAAGCTGTACACCACAATACAACATGCCAACTACCCATTTAAAGGTGATCACAGAAGATACAGATTTGATGACACACTGAAGTTCAAAAGTCCCAATTTTAAAACATTTACTTTAGGATATATACTGCTTTTGTGAAAGAAATCTGTAATGCTTTGTAAAGTCAATAGGAAATTTTTTTTTTATTCAAACAGCATCATCAAAGTAAATGGGACAAGACTGAATCAACTTGATACATTTGAGTGCTCTGATACCCTGATTAAAGTAGACAGAGAATGTATTAAAGAAGTTAAAGGTAGAATAACTGAAGCAAGATCAGCATTTCACAAGTTGAATAATATTCTCTGCAATTTATCTTTGTCAAATGAGGTGAGAAAGAATGGAACAGCCTTTAGAACTGTACAGAGCCAAACTTAATGTGGAATAATGTGTCATCATGGCATGGAACAATTTCTATTCCAGAAATGACGGACAAAGCAGATAAAAGAAATCTGTGGATACACATGAACACTAATGCTATATGGCATCGACTATAAAAAGAAATCAGTATTGCTATGGTCAGTCTCCTGACTTTTAATGGACAGCCTCCATTGTTTCTTATAATGGAACCAAGAGAATCACAGTTTTTGAGATTTTCAATTTCTTTATTACAGAGTTTTGCTTGGCATTTCCTGTGGACATTTAGGGTTAAAAAAAAATTTTTTTTTTTTTAAATTCTCAAAAAGATTGATCTTAGCTGTGTTTTTTTTCCTGACAAACCAGATTAAGCCACAACCATTCCTGACTCAAAATCATCTTTTACTCAAATGAGAATTGAGAAAACAGTCATGCTTCCATGTAAACAAACAGTGATACGTGTCTTCCAAGACTGTCAACAACAGTGGAATAATTGCTGGGTGGTGGTGAATGGAACTTATGAAAGACTGCCAACATTTTAAGAGAGATAGACTTGCTTGTTTGTGGTGAATTAAGAGGAAGAAAGAGGAAACTGGCAGCACTTACCACACTAGAAATTGCCATAATTCCTAGGTCTATAATCTCAAGTCTTGAGTGAATACTTGCCTTATAATTTAAGAAATAAAGTACAGAAAGCAAAATATAGTGAGGGAGGCAGTGGTAGTATGTATTCCATGGAAAGGTCTCAATAAACTGAAGTGATAAAGCAATGAGTTATCGTCAGTTCTGATAATCTGGTTTCATAAGCTAATGGTCGCAAATTATCTTAACATTTCCTGCTAAAATAAATAAACCGGGTGACACTGTCATCACAGATTTTGAGATCCCTATAAACAAACTGGTAACAGACACTGTCTACTCAACATTTCAGTGTATGCCAATTTTAGACCTTTTGCTTTCCCAGTATTCTTTTGTCTGCATCTCTGTAAGCCGAGAGATAATGCGCTCAAAAGCAAATATTTCATCTTCTCCTGTAAAAATGTTCGACTTGGCTAATTCAGACCCCTAGGGAAAGAGAGAAAATAAGAAATTTTTGAGTTTACAAACAGAGACACTACACAATTAAAACAAACTAAAACATTCATACAATCACTTATCTTCCAGTGTGGATTCCAGGACCCCATTGTCAGGAAAACAAGAACAGACCCACTGCCTCCCCAACAAGCATGTCATAGGAGTTGACTAACTGGGGGTATTCTTTAAAGTCAAAGTGCCTCTGCCTCAGAGGCAAGGAACCAAGAGTCTGCAAGCAAAAACACCAGATCTGTGAAACGGATGTGCATGCAACACTCAGGTTCTGGAACAAGACTTGAGCCCAGAGGTGGATGAACACCCAGAACTTTCCACTGGTGAACACAAAGAAGAAGAGGAAGAATCACCAACAGGTGGGGAGCAACATGTCTTGGTGTACCAGGACCAGAGCTCATAATGGTTGAGACCTATCTACACTTCCCAAACTCTGATAAAGAGGTTACCAACAGGGTTGCTGGGCAACATGAACAGGATCAAAGTTTCCTTCAATGTCAGAGTACATCAGCTTGAAAGACGAGGAACTGACAGTCTGCATACATAAAAGCCAGACTTAGAAAACAGATGAGCACACAAACACTAAAATCTTGCAACAAGATCATAGTCCAGAAGTGAATGAACAACCAGGATTTTCTGTCAGCTAGTGAACGTAATGAAGAAGAAGCTTTTATCACTTTCCAAATGCAGAAACGCGAGAAATAAATTCACAAGTATTAAAAGATTACAAGTATTACTCATCAGAAGACACAACACAGAAGGAGAAATCAAATATAATTTCAACAATGACAAGAGAAAATGGACAGATCTGTGCACATCCAGATTTAGTACTTCACTGCACTTCAGTACCACCCATCTGCCTCTAGGTCTAAACTATATTATGAAACCAAACTTTCATCTTATCTATGTATTCATTTCAAACTGGAATCAAAACGTCATTCATTATGTTATAAAACCAAACAGTCATCTATACATTCATTATGTTATAAAACCAAACAGTCATCTATATATTCATTATGTTATAAAACCAAACAGTCATCTGCATCCACACTGTAGGTCTTTGCTGCAATATTAAACCATCTGCAGTTAGGTCTTAAGAAGAAGAAAGCAGGAACACTAAAGGAAATGTAAATGGAACCTGTTTGTGCCCCATTGAGTGAAACTGTGCACTGAACATGATCATGTAATAGTCATGTGATAGGTACTAATCAGTGAATTAAAAAGCACGTGCTTATCCCTCCATGACCCATTCATTCTCTCTCTCTGACCATTGAGAAAATAGTCAGTTTGAATAAAAATCCATCCAAAGCAGTTCAAAGAGCAGTGATTCAGTTTCATTTAAAGGATGTTGACCAGGGTCCATTCACCAAAGAATACAGGCAGAGGATGGTAACAAAAGTATGTTGAGAATAGTGAAAAACTGGGTAAGAATCTCTCAGAAAGAACATTAGTTCATGGTAGATCTTCCACAGCCAGGTCACGCTCATTTTGCTGCAACAACAACAACAACAAATAGCCTGGTTGTTGTTGTTGTTGTGTGTGCAAGCGTGCATGCCTGTCTGTGTGTGTGGCACGCCTACCTAAGCAACAGGATGCTTACCTGAATACTTACAGTGACTTTTTTCTGACCAACCCATTGTGTATTATTCATTCAATATAAACACTTTATTAATTCTGCCAAACTTGTTGATGTTTCTTTCATGGTGTTGTTCAAATGAACGATTATATCATACGTCTTCAGAAAATGAGAGCAGGAAATGAAATTATCAGAAATTTAAAAGGGCAGCTACACATAAAACCCATACCGCACTGATTCCTAAATCATCCATCAAAGCTCTGTTGGCCTCTGCATCGGTGAAGCTCAAGTCTCCAGCACTAAACAAGTCCTTTGGGACACAAGCAGCTCCCATCAGAAGTTTTACCTGAAAGGTATTATCCACAGCTTGAAAAACCAATACATCAATGTGCTGAGTGCAGGTTGGTCTATTCAAAATATAAAGCTTTCAACATATACTTATGATGTAAAAAATGTCTCGACTTATAATCTTTTTTCTGATGATGTCCTGAAGTCTGCAATACTGGGACTGAAGGTGGATTAAAAAAAAAAAAAGTATTTCACAACTCTCGCTTTTGTAGATGAATACTTTGTCAGATAACTCATCTATCAGCGTAGACATCAAGAATGTAATGACTAGAAGAACAAGGAAACACAGTACCACTTAATTTGTGGACTGAGGACTATGGATCTGTCAGATAACTTGTCTATCAACGTAAACATCAAGTATGTAACTACAAGAACAAGGAAACACACTACCACTTGATATGTAGACTGAGGACTATGGATCCTAAGAGCTCAAGACTAAGTGAACCAAGTCAATACTGTCTGCACTACAACCAAGATATCTCTTCTTCTTCTTCTTCTCCTTCTGCTCCTTCTGTTCCTCCTCAGATTCCTTCTTCATCTTCTTTTTCTTCTTCTGTGTTTACCCTTAACATGATTGTTGGCATGGTGTGCTGCAGTTTCCAGCTAGGCTGTAGTATCTGCATCTGTCCACCAAACACATCCAATTTAGGCAAGCCTTTAAATAGCGGTCTTATGGCTTGTTAAAGGGCTGCGAATATTCCTTTTTTTGTGTTTTTGTTTTTTGTTTCCCTATAGGGGCCCTGGAACCCATACAGGGATGAGAAACCTTGCAGTTCTGCCTGGGGCTGCATTCTCACTAGATGACTGAACCATTTCATTCTTTGTCTGGCAAATAATCCAGGCATGGTTTTATTCCAACTTTCTCTCTAATGCTGGCATTCATAACCATGTCTCTTCTTGTGTTGTCAGTGACGTGACCTTGTGGAGAAAGCGCATTTCACATGTAGTTATTTTTTGTTCTACTGCCCTATTCAGTGTCCATGATTGGCACTGATAACATACAGTAGGAATAAAGATGCTAATAATCATTTGCTGTTTTGCTGGAAGATTTTCCATGATTTTTAAAATAATGTATTTGTTTAAATTGTATTTTACATATTGTAATTTTAAATATGAGTCCGCTTTGTCTCAAACTGAGCCAAATCTCCACTTGTGCTTTTAAGAGCGAAATACCGAAAAATTGATTTGTGAGACTTCCATAAGGAAAGATCTCAGTGTAATATATAACAATGTGGGTTATTACCAAATTATGAAATGTAATCAGTAGTAATGTTTTTCCCTGTGCATGCACTGCCTACTTCCTACAGACCATGGCTAATGCCAGTTTTTCAACTCAAGGCTTAGCAAGTGACCTGCGGATCACTGCCAATTGTAGTGTAATAATAATCTTTTTATGCTGGGGTTTGGGACTCTGGCCTGTGATGGTTTCCATTTTCAAAATGCTGGCTCCTGAACAGATCATGAGGCAGACCAAGAAGATTGTAGAGAAATAATATTCAAGCAGACCTACAAACACTTGCGTGTCACCAGCTGGAAAGAGAGGGTCAACCACAGACATGATTAAGGCAGGCGATATCTGCAACAATGAACCTCAAGGGCTTGGAATGCTGAAGAAGAATAATTAGTAGTAATAGTAGTTAGGGCACTTGAAAGCTATAACAGAGATCTGGGTTCAATCCCCAGCAAGACTTTTTTCTGACCAGTCTGGCTCTGGGATTAATCCAGTATCATAAAAAAAAGACAGTAGATAATTTCTAGAACCTAATATTTGGGAAGTAATGTCAACAAAGAAGCGTACTGCCCACCCCACCTCATATGTTATGGCCTAGAATGTAAAAAAGGCCTAACGTATCACACCCCAATGACAGTATTTTTTTATGGGATTACCTCTACTTGTAACCAGTAGTAAGGAAAAGCACAAATAGCTCAATATTACAATGTCATGAAAAGATAACAAACCAAACAAAAAGTAGAACCAGTCAGCTTCGCAATATCGCAAACACAAGAATATGTTTGGCTAGAGAGCCTTCTTTAGCAAATTACATAAAGCTACAATTCCACAAGTATGAACAAGATTGCATGAAACCACATAACTGACATATCTCCAACAGATACCACATTTCTGTCTGGCCAGTAGATAATATTCGTAATCTAACTTACCTTATTGTCATACAGTGTGTCAATGAGAGTGATAAACCTTCTTGCCTCTGTCCTACAGTTGAGGTTCATCTTTGGCACACCTCGTAGAACAACTAAATCAAATTCTCGGCAGATTTCCAAATAGTCAACAGCACCAAGATTCTATTGAGCACACAAATCAAACTACGTGACCATCCTGGCATCTTCTGCTTCTGAAGTCTTTAAAAAAACATGTAAGAGAAGAAACTGAAATTCAGGGGGGAAAAAGAATGACCGATGGGGTGTGAATGTCCACCTCATGCACCGTTGCACGCCAAGGTAACACATTGGCTGGTTTACCTGGCTGCTGGTTACATATCAGAGTCTCCACTGAGCCAGATTTTTTGTTTCAACTGTAAACTCTGGTGGAAAGTTCTAGTTGCTCATTCATTTCTGAACTTTGGTCTTGTTCCAGAACTTGTGTTTTGTATGCACATCTGTTTTACATATCTGGCATATTTATATACATTTTATGACATGCTTGTTTGGGTAAGTGAGTGTTCTCCTCCTACCCCCCCCCTCCATGAACCTAAATAAACCTACATGAGGAACTACAGGAAAGTATTCTGGGAAGTAAATTAGGTCACGTGATACTCACAAAACCGCCAATCAAGTGTTAATTGCAATACTGGTCGACAACTTTATGTCCAACATGCTCAAAGGTGCAGAAATAAGTTCTTTATTTTAACTTTGTTACATATTGTGGGAGGTGGGCCCAATCCTTGATAAAGCTTACAGTATCATTTAAACAACCTTTGCCTGTGTACTAAATAATTATAGCCTGGGCAAGTGGCCTCTGTTCCTGTATAATACTCTCTTAGCACATATCAGCAGGTACAGATTCAGTAATTTGAGGTGGGGGGGGGGGGGGGGGGGGGGGGGGGTTGGGGGGGGGGAACAAAGCATGGTTTTCTATACATCCCCCCTTCTTGCAATTCAGATTTTTTTTCATCTGAACAGTTTGTGTAACACATACAGTGAAGAATATAGTCTGCCCAGAGTTGCTACAAATATTTTAGAAAAATGTGTAGCATACTCTTCATGTAATCTATCACATCTCAGATTTTTTTTAAAAATATAACAGAAAAGCAGAAGGTACTAATAGCGGAATTAACCCCATCTCACTCAGATGTGAGATTTGGCATTCGTTCCCACGAGTTGTCCTATATTCTAGAGGTGTCAGGTGTTGCTTGTTTTGAACGTTTTAAATACATCCATCACTCACAACAGCCGCCGCCAATCAGAGTAGAAATACAAAACATCAAGGATCGATACTCACAAACCATCATGCCTTTGGTGTTTCCTCCTGTGGTATTTCTTCTTTCTACATAGGCACCTGCGGTGCCTCAGCCACTCACAAAACATTCAAGAAATGACAGTCGTTCACAGAGAAGACAGTTGCGACAAGAAAGCTGCAGTTTCATCTGGGAGACAGTGTGTCAGCCTCGTCCAACCATTGCAAGCCAGTTTTTGCCAACAGTGTGTACAGATAGGGAAGGAAGGCATCTCATAGCACCCCAAGAACATAGGACAGCCCATGGGAACAGCCATAAAATCTCTCGCTCTAGCGAGATTGGGTGAATTCCGTTATTAGTACCGAGCAGAATCAAGAAAGAATACCTTCTTGCATAAATCATCAAAAGTAGTATCCAGAACTCTGCCATAAGTTACTGGTAGATGAAGCTGGTGTCCAAGAACAATTAGCGTTCTTGGCTCAATTTCTGACATGAAAAAAAAATAAACATCCAGTGTGAATATTTTGAAATATTTCAACCAAAAAAAAAAAAAAGAGGCAGAAATGTAACAACATAAATACTGAGTTAACTGACCAGTGTCGGATTCCAAAGGTTGAATCCTTTGCCTAATGCTATGAAGAGTGTGGATTCAAATTTCAGTCCCACCTTTTTGTTCAATAGTACAGGTGTTCCAGCGATACCTGGGGGTCACTGCTGCAGCCATGGAGTTCATGGTTTGTGCACTGTTCTCACTGATAACCACAGGTCTATTCTTGTTTTCCCTACAATGGGACCCCACAGGGAGTTTCAATTATATTGTTTGTCTGCTACATAATGTCTTGTAGTTCACAGCTTAAATTGTTCTTTTTAACAAAAGATTATGTTTTGTTATGACTGTTGCCAGTAGTTTTGATTTATTAATTGTGTGAAAATATTGGCTTCGGTGACTTCATCCAGAAGCTGGATTAATAGAGTGAACTCATGAACTTTTAAAACAGAAATGATGTTAGTGCACCAAGGAAACACCACTTTTTGCTCTGTCTCTCACAACAGATAAGATCCTAGAGATGGTAACTGTTCAAAGACAGTGAGCTCCTTTTCTCTTAGTGTTCAGCAGCTGTAAACTCTGGCAGAAAGTTCTGGTTGTTCGTTCGATTTCAGGTCATTGCCTTGCTCCAAATCTGGAGGTTTTGCGTACACGTCTTTTTAAAGATATCTGGAATATTTGTATGCAGACTGTTAGTTCTTCACCTCTCAGGCAGACGCACTCCAACTCTGAAGGAAATACCCCTAATTAGTCATTTTACATGACAAGCTTGTTAGGAAGGCAGTGGGTCTAGCCTTTGTTTTTTTTTCAAATCTCAACATGGGGTCTAGAACCCATTCGAAGATAACAATGAACTGACTGTGAGTACACCCATTATCCCCATCTGTGATCACACTTACTACTGCCACAGATAATTTCAAATGAGAAACACCCTTGGACTGGGTCGCTCATCAACCTCAGTACCAACAACCTGCCACAAACAATGTCAAATGAGAAACACCCTTGGACTGGGTCGCTCATCAACCTCTGTACCAACAACCTGCCACAAACAATGTCAAATGACAAAACCCTTAGTCTGGGTCACTCATCAACCTCTGTACCAACAACCTGCCACAAACAATGTCAAATGACAAAACCCTTGGACTGGGTCGCTCATCAACCTCAGTACCAACAACCTGCCACAAACAATGTCAAATGAGAAACACCCTTGGACTGGGTCGCTCATCAACCTCTGTACCAACAACCTGCCACAAACAATGTCAAATGACAAAACCCTTGGACTGGGTCGCTCATCAACCTCTGTACCAACAACCTGCCACAAACAATGTCAAATGACAAAACCCTTAGTCTGGGTCACTCATCAACCTCTGTACCAACAACCTGCCACAAACAATGTCAAATGACAAAACCCTTGGACTGGGTCACTCATCAACCTCTGTACCAACAACCTGCCACAAACAATGTCAAATGACAAAACCCTTGGACTGGGTCGCTCATCAACCTCTGTACCAACAACCTGCCACAAACAATGTCAAATGACAAAACCCTTAGTCTGGGTCACTCATCAACCTCTGTACCAACAACCTGCCACAAACAATGTCAAATGACAAAACCCTTGGACTGGGTCGCTCATCAACCTCTGTACCAACAACCTGCCACAAACAATGTCAAATGACAAAACCCTTGGTCTGGGTCGCTCATCAACCTCTGTTCCAACAACCTGCCACAAACAATGTCAAATGACAAAACCCTTGGACTGGGTCGCTCATCAACCTCTGTACCAACAACCTGCCACAAACAATGTCAAACGACAAAACCCTTGGACTGGGTCGCTCATCAACCTCTGTACCAACAACCTGCCACAAACAATGTCAAACGACAAAACCCTTGGACTGGGTCGCTCATCAACCTCTGTACCAACAACCTGCCACAAACAATGTCAAACGACAAAACCCTTGGTCTGGGTCGCTCATCAACCTCTGTACCAACAACCTGCCACAAACAATGTCAAACGACAAAACCCTTGGACTGGGTCGCTCATCAACCTCTGTACCAACAACCTGCCACAAACAATGTCAAACGACAAAACCCTTGGACTGGGTTGCTCATCAACCTCTGTACCAACAACCTGCCACAAACAATGTCAAATGACAAAACCCTTGGTCTGGGTCACTCATCAACCTCTGTACCAACAACCTGCCACAAACAATGTCAAACGACAAAACCCTTGGTCTGGGTCACTCATCAACCTCTGTACCAACAACCTGCCACAAACAATGTCAAATGACAAAACCCTTGGTCTGGGTCACTCATCAACCTCTGTACCAACAACCTGCCACAAACAATGTCAAATGACAAAACCCTTGGTCTGGGTCACTCATCAACCTCTGTACCAACAACCTGCCACAAACAATGTCAAATGACAAAACCCTTAGTCTGGGTCACTCATCAACCTCTGTACCAACAACCTGCCACAAACAATGTCAAATGACAAAACCCTTGGACTGGGTCGCTCATCAACCTCTGTACCAACAACCTGCCACAAACAATGTCAAATGACAAAACCCTTGGTCTGGGTCACTCATCAGAGTTTCTTCTTTTTTTACACTTAGTCCCATCTGTTGCTTTAGGCGTTAATTTTTTAAACTATTTTAATGAATTTAGTTTGCACATTCTTGAATACTAACCAATTCCTTGAGTTTGAACAAACTGCCTAACAATGTCATCAATGAGACGATTTGTCTCTTCTTGTGTGCCTCTGTTGAACATAAAAAATTAACATTTAAATTCCTTGAATTCTTCTGTACTCACCCTTAAAAGGGCAGCTGGCATGTTGTGTTGCGGTTTACAGCAAGATTCTGAATCTGTGCCATTCAGTTTAGCACATCTGATTTCAGCAAAGCCCTAATTAGTTGTCTTTTATGTCAGGTTTAGGTTTCAACAATGGATCAACATCCTGGCACAAGGGTAGTCACCCATAAGTGCTCTGTTCTTCTTCTAACTCAAGTACGAGTCCGAAAAATGTCAGTGCAGTGCATGAACTCCGTACCGGTGAGGATCCTCAAATACTTTACGTAGATTTGTAACTCCATTTTTATTTGGGGGAGGGGGGGGGGGGGGGCCAAAGCAGCGCCGTTAGGCTACTCTTTTTGATTTCCAACTGCCAAAGGATTTGCTATGTGTGCAACAATACACACAGGCGTGCGATCTACTAACCAGAGACCAGGAGAAATTACTAGAAGTCCATGTGAAAAAATCCCAGCCTTCACTGGGGCCTGAACCCGGTACCTCCAGCACTCGAGGCAGATGCCATGCCTCCTTTATACCAGGATTATTAATAGGCCCATGGGCCTATTCTTTTCTTCCCCCAAAACAGGATACAGGAATCCACATGGGGAATAATTATCATAAGCATACAAATAATATCAATTTAGAGCTAACAATAAGGCAAAACTAAAATAAATAACTAATACTATAAATATAATGATGTTTTGGGAAAAAAACTTATGAACTGATTACCCATATCAGAAGAAAATGTGCACGTCACAAGAAGGGGAAATTTCAAATAAGTCTTGATATTAGGAAAGTTTGCAGGGAAAAGAGAGGCAGACTTAGAGACAATAAGTGATAAAGTTTGGCATTATAGCAAAGAAGAACTGTATCATAGATGACTGACAGAACATGAGACAGAAGGCTGTAGAGGATACGATTACCAATGCCACACAACATGGACAATAAAAAGAAGAGGAATGATTAGTAATTTGTTAATTAACACAGTATGAATTATTTGTTGGAACTCAAATATAATAAACTCAAGCCTAGTCTATAAATTTAAAATATTAGTTTATTTTGCGGTCATACAGTCTGGCACTTAGTGGACTGAAACGGGTGTGAAACTCACACAGAATGCTTCTAACCAGCTGTCTGCTAGTTTCAACTGACATGAGATACTTTTCTGAACTTATGGTGTCCCATTCAGTTGTTGCATTTGCCTGCTTGGTGAACATTTTCTACTACAGCTCCTCTCGTCCCACAGTAGTATTATGTTAACTCATGCAGAACAAAGCAACATACTGTGCGTTTATTAGTTAACAAGTTTTTTTTTAACTCTATCTGTTTCCTCAACTGCAATCTGGAAGGGTTTTGCTTTTGCGGCTTTTTGGGGTGACAGGGTTAAAGGAACACTTGTGCAGTATTGCTATACTTGTCCCCAAACGTATTCTGCCCCAATTTGTCCTGGGTGCATATATTTATTTCACAAACAACTCAACAAAACTGTTTAAATGTCTACTGACAGAAATATACATAAAATAAACGACCCTTTTCCATGTCCATAGGCGTACTGGGTACTGGGTATATACTGCTAGACCTTGTTTTATACAGACCAATCAGCACTCAGTGGGTGATGTGGTCAACACTACGCCGGCCACCTTTAACTTCCAAGGAATTACTAAAGAAAAACTGCATGTGTACTAAAAATGAATAGTGAATACTCACACATTGGGTGATTACCAAGCGGGTTTCCGACAGAACAGATCAACAATAAATCAGACATTCATTTTTGGCAAGCAAAGCAGAATTGGAAATTTAGAAGAGATGTACAAAATGTTTTTGTAGATTTAAAAAAAGCGTATGATAGTGTACATAGAAACAGTTTATGGAATGCTATGAAGGACTTTGGAGTACCAAAAAAGTTAATTACCATGACCAAACTATGTATGGAAGACAGTTGTATTATAGTAATATATAAAGGCAGAAAGTCAGACCCCTTTCAAATAACATCTGGTTTAAAGCAAGGTGATACGCTGTCCCAACTTCTTTTCAACTTGGCCGGGGGCAAAAATTAAAAGGAAATTGAAATAAGAGTGTACTATATGAGAAATTACAAGAATGATTATGCAGATGGTTGATATTGTTTATAGAAAATGAACTAGACTCTGTAAAAACATTGACTCTCTTAAAAAAAGCAGCTCACAAAATGGGACTAGTTATCAATCAAGATAAGACAGGAAAAGGATATAAACTCCTCAGAAGAAATACAATCTGGAAATAAAGTATACTATGCCCTTCAACATTTGCTAAAGTCAAAGTCTCCATCTCACAACACCAAGATCAAAATATATAAAATGTTGATAAGGCCAGTCATTTTATATGGCTCTGAAACTTGGAGCACAACTAAAAGAAATGAAGCCTTATTACAATTTTTAGAAAACAGTCTCACAATGAATCTCTGGACCTGTCAGAGATGCAAACAACGGAGAATGGAGAGAGAGAAGCAACAACGAAATTCATAATCTGTTTAAATCACCACTGATCACTGACATCATGAGAGCTAATAGACTGAAGTGGCTGGGGCATATTGAAAGAATGTCAGATGAAAGAGAGGTAAAAACTGTATACACAAGGGAGCTGAATGGTCATAGACCAAGAGAAAAGGCAGACCAAGAAGGCAATAGAGAGATAATGTCTAAACAGATCTGCAAACACTTGGTGTTAATACTTGAAAGAGAAGGCCAACCAGAGAGATGAGGCGGGTGATATCTGCAGCAATGAACTCAAGGGCTTGAAATGCTGAAGAAGAAGAATACTTACACAAAATAGACTTGTCCTTCAGATGGCAAGCCAGCCATTCTGTAGTCAATACCAGAATTTAAAGGTACAACATCGCAGTATTCCTGAAATTAGTAATTAGTTTTCATAACTATTTCTGTCAAGAGTATTTAAAGTCATACATAATATTCATTTAGATCTAACATTTCTAATTACCAGATGAACTTCACTTCTGTTCTAATATCAAACATTTGTAAAGACAATGTAATCATTTCTATAATCATTTAACAATTATGAAAATAAATCTACAGGACAGAGGTGTCAAAATAAAATCCATTGGCACTTTATTCAAGTCTACAAGTCACTTATAAAAAGCGATAATTAGTATGTTAATTAACTGTCCAGTCAACTTCAAATATTAGGAAATACAAGACTTGCCGAAGGATATAACTTTTTCTCATGTTCCTTTGTGGCATATGCACATCTGGAATCCCAAACAGAAGCAAGTTCAATCTATGCAATGATGTTTCAATAACTAAGCAATTGTTCTTACCTGCTGCATAAACATGTGTAAATATAAAATCAGGTAGAACCCTTCTTCAGTTATAATACAGAAAGTGAAGAATCTGTTTCCATGGGTTAACTCTTTGAGTCGTAAGGAAACATCCCATGCTAATTAATTACCACCCAGGCAGTCAATCAGCCCGTGATGCATACTAGTTCTTCAATTTACCACTCATTCATTCATTCAGTAGCATGTCCCTCGCGGAACCTCGCTGCCATAACAATCCTCCGGAAAACCTTCCTATCCTGAGCAAGATGTCCTGCGTCTGATACACCCATCTGGAGATCATCTGCCACATCCTGCACCCATCTTCTCCTTGGCCTTCCTCTTCCTCTCTTCCCAGGCATATACCCCTCCATTATTGTTCTCTCTAGACTTCCATGACGTTTCAAGTGACCAAAATATTTCAATTTTCTTTGTTTTATTGTCTTTACTAGCCAACCCTCTTCAATATTCAGCTCTTGAAGTATGGATGCATTTGTTCTTTTCTTTACCCAAGATATTCTTAGAACCTGTCTGTAACATTTATATTCAAATGCATAATTTACCACTGGCCAGTATAAAATGCAAATTGGCAGTTTTGAATGGTATTCCCTGTTCTTTGTGTTCTATGTTACACATGTGTTGACCATCAGGCTTATTTGGAAACTTGGTTAAAAGCACAAAATGTAGCATGTTTGTGAGCTTTAGAGAGTGACTAAGTGATTGTGTGAAAACAATATGGTCTCCGAGCAGACCTCTTCATGCATGACAGCAAGATTTATGACTTTAGAAGCCTCACATTAAAAAAAAAAAACATGCGTTTTTCAAATTCTTCCGAAACTAGGCCAAAAAAGTTACAAAGTAGACTTGTTTTAGTCACTGATAGAGTCAAACTTTGATAATGGATAGCTCTGATATATACCTCATGCTAAGTTACAATGATAACAAAGTCGGCTGGTACAAAGAGAATAAATATTGGTGAAAAAGCAATATTCTTCAGTGTAAGTTGAGCCTAGTGTGATTCACTTCTTATTTTGGGAACACAGGCTATAAAATTACAGGAAAATTTAGTTAATTTTGTTGAAAATACTGTTTTCAGAAGTGATTTTTTTTCCTTACCAAAAAATGGTGCTCTGTTATGATGTTCTAAAAGTTTCTCTGGAACAAGATCTAATGTACAATTTGTGTTTAGATTTTATTTAAACATTACTAAGTGGTTCATGTTCATTTATGATTCATTTTGGATGTATTTTATAGAGTTTTTCTCAAGTGCCATGGTGGTAAGTGCAAAAAGTATTATTTCATTTTACTAATTTCTCTAAATATACCATTTGTTTACATTCTAATAATTTATTACCAACACAATTTATTTGTGTAGTATAATCTTACATTATTCCTAAACAATCCCTGGTAATTTTGATGTATAATATGTGTATGCTGCGCAGCAGCTGAATTAATATGGTTTGTTTTATTGCGTTACAAATACGACATTTCAAAACTGCATTACCGCATCTTGGGCCTCTGATGCTTGTCGCATAACAGTCTTAACCACCCCTTCATCTTTATTCTTGATCCTGCCATCCTCTTGGAGACGAGGTCACATTCTAATGTGAACTCGTCCATGTGGGTATATAGTCCCTCTTATATATTTACACTTCTTTATGACATAATATATATTTCTGAATGTTCTGAATCTCTTGGTATGTCTTCATTTTCAAACTTACAGTTAGAAGTTGGAGATTCTTTGTGTTATTGCTCCTATTCCGATGGGACTAAGAACACCTGGAATAGGAATTTGTTGGCCTACTTTCTTTGAGAGTGACGCTAAGTTTTCCACCCCATTCTCGATATGGCTTCTGTTATAGAAGTGTTTTGCTTTTGTGCTTAATTCTGTCTAAAACGAAGTAACAGTTATATATTTATATATAGAGATCTACCCCGCTGCTGAGAGGAGGGCCAACTTTGCTATGAGTCATTACAGAGCGATACTTTTTTGTGTGTATCAAATTACTCAGGCCCGCCTAAATCAACCATCCCCTTTACCTGCTGAGGTGATATGCGCTACCCCTCCCAGCACTAGTATCAGTGATTTAACCCAGCAGACAAATCGTTCCTTAACTAGTTGGTTGTGATACAGTAATACCGATCTGGAGGCTGACAGAATAATTGGGTCAGCACACATTCTCGACTGAGCGGGTGTGGACAGACAAGTCGGAGGTCATGGGGTATTTACAAATTAACTCATGTCAAAATACTGGGTGGTGACCTGGAAAGCTAGATTCAACATGTGGGAGAATATAATATACATATGTGTATGAGTAGTAGTCTGTGTAACTACAGTTGTGCAGATATGAAAGTAGAAAGATAGTGTCCTCTACCTGAGAGACTTCTGTCTGTCTCCTTGTGGAACTTGTCTCCTGTCTCTTCTACCGACTGACTGATACTGTTTGCATAGAGACTAGTAGAGTCTCATTATCCTGAGAGCTGTCCTCTGAATTTAATATGTGAGGATAGAGTTAAGTAGGGATTAAGCATATGAGTTCAGATGACTGCTAATCCTGGTGTTCCACTTCCTCACAGGATGAGATCTCCTTGGAAGCCATGCAGTTAATCAACAGTCCATAAAGCCACCAGCTTGAAAGCCATCAGCTTAAGGGCCACAAACTCTTATGTGCCACCAGCAGCCAGAAGACAGCACCATTGGGGACTGTTGACGACTCTGTTCAGACAGCCAGGTAGCGACCAGTGTTTTGGTGGGAGAACTCCATATCCAGGGAGCCACCCGGAGAAGCCTGAAGGTGCCTGTCATTTTTGGTGAACCGTACTGATGCTAAATTAACTATCAGACATTAGTATGCAACTTTATTCCAAGTGCAGTTCCTGAGATGCTGAAGAACAGACCAGTTCAGTGACTTGGTTCCAGACGTCCTAGTTGTTGTGAACCTAAGCAGAACAGTACTCGACCTGGAGGAAGCTAAGTAACCTAAGATAGTGGTCTATTCAGATGCAATGTCACGGTTCTAACTCCTGTATCCCTCACTGAGATGGGATGATAATGGCTGCTCTCTGGGACATCATTTGTCAGTCATATCTAATGTGTCTGTGGTTTCTTAACATCACTGATTCTGTCGAATTCCTTTTGCCTGATGTAAATATGTATTCGTTGAACTTATTGCATATCTAAGAAATGTGTCAGTCTTGATTTAATGTCCATCCTTCATTGTTCTTAGCTGTCTGGAGTGTGTGTATTATTATAGTGGATTTTATTCTGTGTTGATATGACTATAATAATAGACTATCTAGTCTGGGGGGGGGGGGGGGGGTGTTTCTTTGTAGTAGTGAGGATGTCCGGCCAAGTTGCGCCTAAGAGTATATATTCTGTAGTGCCATAGCTTGTGTTGCCCCACCCCTGAAATAGGTTGGATGTGTATAGTGGCTGTGGGATTCTGCCTAGACCATTACGGCCAACATTCAAACATTGATAACCATGTCAGAGTGCTGTTGGTTCATTAGGAGAAATCCTTAACTAGGCACGTGACACGAGCAGTATGTGACAATGCTAAACCCCTGGAACTCAAGGAGTTAAGGCATACTGGTATACTGTTAAGAACATAAATTTAAAACATCCCTAACACTGCCAGATAATCTTCAAATAATCATTTCTAACTGGCAGCCTTCCAGTGAATATCTCTAGCAGAGGCAGACAATCTTCCAGTGAATATCTCTAACAGACGCAGGCAATCTTCAAGAGAACATCTCAAGCAAAGACAGGCATTTTTCAAGAGAACATCTCTAGCAGAGGCAGACAATCTTCCAGTGAACCTGTCTAACAGAAGCAGACAATCTTTTAGTGAACATCTCTAACAGAGACAATCTTCAAGAGAACACCTAGAACAGAGCCAGAGAATCGTCCAGTGAATATCTCTAACAGAGGCAGAAACACAAAAATACACCCGCGTATGTATACTCAGTGATTCAATGAGTATGATCCGGAGGGTTCAGGCATGTTCGGTGCGAAGACAATGGCTTGAATCATTACAGAAATCCACTATGCGTGGAGTCAACTTTATTTTTGTTCCGGAACACGCAGGCGTCGTTGGAAATGAAAGAGCTGACAGGTTGGCTGGATCCGCTATCACTACTGACGGTCAGCCTATGGATCATGCTGATATTATTAATGCCCTCAGGGAAATGGGAAGGATAGAGGACTTTGGTGGCAGTGAATCCACATCACTCGCCAAAAAATGAGACGCACGCCAGAGGACTTGTTAATCAACATAGAACTGGTACTATTAGCCATCGGACGTTGGAGTTCATACTGAGAGGAGGATCTGAGCACCTATGGACATGTCAGGAGTGCAATGATGATAACCCAACTAACTAACTAACTAACTAACTAGAGGCAGACAATCTTCCAGTGAACATATCTAACAGAGGCAGATAATCTTCCAGTAAACATCTCTAACAGAGACAGACAATATTCCATTGAACATCTCTAACAGAGGCAGAAAATCTTCAACATGTCCTACGAGATAACAGTAAAGTTCTAAATGTCTGACCGTCAAAAGTCCTACCTCCTGACAGAAAGGTTCAAATGTTCATTACCAGTGACCTCACTTGTTAGAGTGTTGGGACCAACAGGAGAACTCATGACTGATGCATGCTTTTTCCATACTGTCATGCTGAGTTTTTTTAATGAAGATGAAACAACAAAGTGTGGTCCTTAAAGTCTCAGACCTGTGGGCTGCTCCCTGTTAACTTCAGCAGGCACAGTCTGTGACAGTGGGAAGCTCAACACATACAAATGTGAGGTTAAGCAGTCATGATTCCATGAGTGAGTTCATGACCAGAGCGTCCTGTTTTTGGCCCTGCATTTATGGAAGCTCCATTGGATGGTGGGAAATGCTCATGATTGACCCTGTCTTTCCTTGAGGACTGACCAATCTACATGAGGTTGCCCTAGATGGGTTCTCCAGGGGCAACACCTGAAGATAAACAGAGAGGACACCACAAAAAAAGGCCATATCCTGTCCCACAAAACCAAATGGGAAGGTTAACCAGGTGAACTTCAATGTGTCGGCCCAAAGGTACAAATATCACAGATGTGCTGTAAACAAGCATTATGCAATTACATCATTTGGATAAATTAAAAGAAGAAGAAGATCTACAAGTGAACATCACCAAAAGAAGTGAACAATCTTCAAGCAAATATCTCTAACAAGCAAACAATTTTCAAGCAAACTAACAGGATCAAAGAAATGTAAACATCTGTAATAGATTCAAGCAAACCTCCAAATCTATCAGAACCAATCTTCAAGCAAACATCTCTAACAAAGGCAAAGAATCTTGGGCTTAATGTATTAGATGCCAGACCTGTTTTTTTTAGTAACAATGGGATCATTGTATCATATAACACAAAGCAACTGTCTTAATGTAAAAATTATGTCCTCACCTTCAGCATGCCAATAAATGGCAGAAAAGTGCCTCTTTGAAGCCCATTCTTGTACAAATCTGACAGATGATGAATCACAAGTAATAAAATTATTCTAATAATATATGAAAACTATATGGGGTAGACTAATAAATTACTGTTTCTACGATAGACAAGCATTGTTTTAGATATTTAAATCTCTACCATTGCTGGTTCCAAGCCCAGTTCAGAAAGGAGGAGGGTTGGGCGTCGGGTCAGCTCCCCAACACTGTAAACAAAAATTAACTGCTATAGAAACTTGCAGAAAAGGAACACATTCTGGTAAATAAGAGCATTTAAAAAACAATAACCTAGCTAAGAACATACCGGTATAAAATAACAACTTGAATGTGAACATTTAAAATAACAACTTGAATATGAACACTAAAAGTAGCAACTTAAATATGAACATATTTGTTTAAAAAATAATACATTTCCCTGATTCAAAACTGAACAAATGTAATTACTGTGCTAAAGCTGGTAATGAAAACTGAGTTAACTGCAGGAATAAAAAAAAAGGGCTCTACTGGCAAATTTGGCCGGTAAGGTGGACTGTTTCGACCGGCTTAGCGGGGCTTAGTGGGAGTTATGTCCCTTGGCCAAACTCAAAACAACTCAAAACAAGTCGCGGAAAAAGTCATGAAACAAATGACATACTTACCTATCATCATCCGGGTGCGTGTAGGGTTGCGTAGGGTGTCTATCATCGTCCTACGGTTGCGTGTAGGGCTGCTTATTGCGTGTAGGGTTGGTTGTTTGCGTAAGATAGATGAGGGGTAGGGTTAGGGGTTAGGGTTTAGGGTTAGGGTTAGGGTTTAGGTTTATGGTTTAGGGTTAGGGTTTAGGGTTTTAGGGGTTAGGGTTTAGGGTTTAGGGGTTAGGGTTTTAGGGGTTAGGGTTTAGGGTTAGGGTTATAGGGTTAGGGTTTAGGGGTTAGGGTTTTAGGGGTTAGGGTTAGGGTTTAGGGGTTAGGGTTTTAGGGGTTAGGGTTAGGGTTTAGGTTTAGGGTTTAGGGTTTAGGGTTTAGGGGTTAGGGTTTAGGGGTATGGTTCGATTTGAAAATTTTCACGTAGGAGGTCGAAATAGTGGCCGACAATTTGACGTTTGTGGGAGTGGCGCCACTGAAACTCTGTCAAATATGACGACGCCAATAGCGGGCGGCTGGTGCCCAGTCGCTGGCGAATTGATCGTTTCACCAACATCCGCAGGCCCTCGATTGTTTGTGTGTGTATGTGACTGTGCGCGACGTCGACGACGTTGGTCTGGTGGACTACTACCTCGTGCAGATAGATGGCATGCCTTACGTTTGCGACGTTGCTGTAGCTTCGCCCTAAGCCTAACCCCTAACCCTATACCCTAACCCTAAACCCTAACCCTAACCCTAAACCCTAACCCTAACCCTACACCCTAACCCTAACGCTAAACCCTAACCCTACCCCTCATCTTACGCAAACAACCAACCTACACGCAATAATTAGCCCTACACGCAACCGTAGGACGATGATAGACACCCTACGCAGCCCTACACGCACCCGGATGATGATAGGTAAGTATGTCATTTGATTCGTGACTTTTTCCGCTCGTTGTTTTGAGTGCGGCCACGGGGACATAACTCCCACTAAGTCCCGCTAAGCCGGCCGAAGCAGTCGAAGCAGTCCACCTTACCGGCCAAATTTGCCAGTAGAGCCAAAAAAAGAAGTAAATCACATATTTCTGTCACAGTTAATGAAATTCAAAAACCAAACTCAAGAGCAAATTCAAGTATTGTCTGATGTAAGCAGCATCTATGAATCCTCAGCCTACTAGGGTTTTCCATTACTAACAACCGTTTTTAAAAAAAAAAAAGATTTTTAAAATAAACCACCTTTAAGGTTGTTGGACAGTGGTAAGAGAGTCAGGCCATGGAAGAGACTGGGACCTCACAATGTAGTATTCCCTAAAATAGCAGTGCACTGGAGTCAACCTTTATTACGGAGACAAGAAAGACAAAGTAGGCAGCAAAATCAAGGTAAAAGATACAATCAAGAAATGGTTGAAAACAAATGAGACTATGACAATGATGCAGATCAGTGTGGCCAACATTCTATATGAAGGTTACACTTCATTGATTGATGAATAATACTGTGTATATTCGAGGTGATTTTTAAAAAAGTACCGGAAGTGTCCCAATACATGTCCCAAGGGTAACATTTAATTAAATAAACTATCTTGTATAATGAATATTTGAAAGATCAAGCTTTGAAATTGCATGGCAGTCAAGATTTTCTATGAGATATTTTAACTAGGGCTGTACCAAATATTCGCTTCGTATTCACTTCGGGGCCGAATAGTGGACCTAACAGCTATTCGTTATTTGGCCGAATTGTGGCAGACGGGCCGAATATGAATAGTGATTTCTGCATACACTGCGATGGACTGAAATAACTCTCATTAACACAATAGTAGCGTTGCCTAAATCTGTCGCAGCGGGGAAAACTGCGACCCGGTTGCTTGGTAACAGCAGGTGGCAAGGTCTTTGCCTGCTGACTCGACCAAGGCATTATAGCAGAATTTCTCAAACTGGGTGTGGCGAAAATCAAGACAAGTCAGCTATAAATTGTGACATTATTAAAGAAGGCATGAAGAAACTTGAAAATAAAAATTTAAATTGTCTTTCCTCGCTAACTGTCAAAAAAAGTTTTTTTTCATGTTTCACACTCACACTGTATCATACTGCATAAAATGCCAACCGCAGCTTGCTAAAAATTGTCTTTGTATTTATCTCCACATGCGACCAATCCTCCATCTGTATTCGTGAAGGTGCAGCAGATAAGTAAGGTTGTGACTACATTTTTTTGCTCAAATTTTTAAGTGAAAAATGTGGTCTGTACAATTTTAACTGTTAGCCTCATCAAGTAAGCACTTATCTTTAAAGGCAATGCGTTCTTTTTTGTTGCTTTTGTGCTCGTGTATTTCTGTGTGTGTGTGAGAGAGAGAGAGAGAGAGGAGAGAGAGAGAGAGAGAGAGAGAGAGAGAGAGAGAGAGAGAGAGAGAGAGAGAGAGAGAGAGAGAGAGCATGCATTTTTTTCTTTCTTTCGGGGTGTCTTTGCCCAAATCAAATTTGAAGATATTGCTAACGAGAATATGAAGGTGCATTTAAATTACATCGAACGAACGCCTGAGCGAACGATGATTCAAATGCAAATTTGGCACATGGATAAAATCAGATGAAAGATGCATTACTGAAATAAAAAACAAAATAAGATAGGCAAAAAACTGCATTTTATATAAAAAAAAGAATATCTTATGCAATATATTGCTACATACATTCAGTTTTAACATATTGCTATGAGTCCTGGACAATCGGTAGGGCAGGCCAAACAATTTTTTGAGGCCTCAGAACAATGCTCAAAATACCTTGGACAGCCTTAAAAAAAAAGCAACCACTAGGTTTTGTAAGAGGCGGGAGCCAGAAGACAACTAATCACAGACATCAGAAGGAGACAGTCATAATTTTTCGGCCATGTTATAAGAAGAGTGAAAATGGAACATGTGGTGACCACTGGAAAGATTTGTGGAAGGAGAGATAGAAAAAAGATAACGAGAGAAGATTCTTGACAGTCCTGTTGCATGTCATGGTGGTGTGTCAGCACACGAACTGATACATGCTGCAGGAGATCGCAGATTGTGGCAAGGCAAAATCACCAACACCAGTCGGCAAGGTACCTGATGATGATAATACACTATTCGTATTCGGCCGAATAGTAGGTCCCACTATTCGTGTTTGGCTGAATAGTGAAAATTACTATTCGGTACAGCCCTAGTTTTAACTCCTAGTTGTTGTTGTTGTTACTGATCCAGCGGCGCATGAGCTTTCGCCCTTTGGCCCAATGCTATGTAGTGAAATTTACATGTTTTCACAAGCTGTTCTTTTCCTTCGTACAAGGTGTTCCACCTGTCTGATCTTGGAGGGAGTAACTCCTAGAAAAACTAGAGATTTTACAGTATATAAACTAATAAACTCCAATCAACTGCAGAATTTCCTGTAAACAGTGTTTCTTTCAAACTTTTTCAATGATATTTTTATGACATGTAATTTTAACAAATGAAAGACTTCATATTAAAAAAAAAAAAAAAAAAGAGGATTAACATAGTATAATATATTATTACAAACCATCTGGTTGTCTATTTGATGTTGCAACAACTATGACACCATTTTCAAATAGCTCTGAGAAAAGTCTCTTCAAGATCATTGCATCAGCAACATCAGTGACCTAAGAGACACAAATGTAATGTGACAGTATCATAACATGTATTCATGTCGCAACGCACACATGAAAGACAGAGAGAAAGAAAGAGAGAGAGAAAGAGAGAGAGGGGGAGAGAGAGAGAGGGGGGAGAGAGATTTAAATGCACAAATCATCCTTGTGCTTCAATATATGTTGAGTTACTTTTGCAGCAGTGCACCTAATGAGATGCAATAAAATATGCAATGCCTTAAAGTGTACAATTTATTGTTTGTGTACGCATTTTTTAAATTTATAACGGTAAAACATTGTTTCTGTACCTATTGTTTAGTTTCTTTAGCTTTTTTTCCAGATAACCGATGTTAGTTCCTCTGACTGTACATAAGTATTTGCAATATTCATCTCAGAAACCACATCTATACTGCTATACAGCAGACGAGGTTCAACACATCATTTCTGTACTCACTTTCTCCCCATCTGTCTTCTGGCGCCCCCTGTTCTGGGGACATAAACCAACAAACCAACCACTCCTTCACAAACATGAGGTAAAAGACACTAATTAAGGTTCTGAACTGGATGTGTTAAGCTGAATGATGCAGATATGAAAGCCTAGTTGTAAACCAAAACACATTGTGCCAACTGCTCTTTTTATGGCAACCCAGAAGAAGAAGAAGTAGAATAGATACTCTCTTTCTAACATTCAATGAAAATGACTTATTACATAAGATCATTATCATCTTCGAAAATGTTTCCCATCAAGGATACAATCCTGAAGACCCAGTCAACCTCTATACATGAAAGAAAGAAACCATTACATTTAGATTTCTACTGGACACAACAGACTCTGCGGCTATATAACCAGGTGTTCCAGATTAAGGTTTCAGAACTTTGTCGATGTGGAGAGGCACCACCAATACTGAACATGTGTACAGAGATGTACTCACTAGATGTGTACAGACATGTACTCACTACATGCAACAGAAAGATCCCAGGTTTGACCAGCTGGTATTCCCGAAAACCAAGCTATAGAGAACAGAGAAAGGCGTGCGCAGAACTAAAGACTTCATAGAGACCTGTGGCTTTCACCTATGAAAACTACTGGCAGAGAGAATGAAAAGATGAAGATCTTCAGAAATGCAGCTTCTATTTGGTCTACCTGTTCATAATTCCTGATAAGCATCTTCCATTTGAAGATATGATTTACAGAAAATGTGGACAAAAATAGTGATTATACATAATAGGTAAATTAGTTTAAAGTTTGTCCATTTTTATGTTACTGTGAACTTCCCAATAAAACTGCCAATAACTGCCTTTATTTACCACTTCTGCCATGTAGGCAAGGGGGGGGGGGTCTTTGAGCCTGAGGATTTAGGGCGGCATGGCTAGTGTTGTCGCCACAAACTGTGCAGATTCGGATTCTATTTTTGCTCCCTACAGAAAAAATCCACAACGTCACCAAGGATTCAAACCTGAGTATCTTGCAAGTAAGCCCAGCGTTCTTTACCATTCGGCCATCTGCTCCTCCCATAAAGTAAAACAAAAGTTAAGGACCCTGTCTCATGCCTACAGGCACACTGGGCACACAGTGATAGATCAAATTTTTTGTAGACCAATCAAAATTTGCTATGTCATGAGGTCAACATCAAGCTGGTCACCTTTGCTTCCCAGAACTCTGCCTGGTGCCCATTTAAGGCTGGGTCGACCAGAGCCAAAGTCATTTTTTAAAGAAAAAAATCTGGCTTTATTCAGATATATACCCATGACTTTCGGAACCACAGGCAAGCATCTAACCACTACACCATGACAGCTTCCCAACTTCCCCATACTCCAAATTTTACATCAAAATTCCAAACCTGAAACTCATCAAAACATAACAGCCAGGCTTCATCACAGATTTCAAGAGCAACAGGTCCAATGGGATCAAATGGCCGCTTATCTCTTATTGTGGTCATCTTTGGCTGATTTTGTTTCAAGGCATGTATTCCTATGTGAGATATGAGGCAAAAGGCAACAAAAATAAACAGCAGAGAATAGTAAGCAAATATATTTCCTCATTAACTTGCAGGATCTTATCTTATAATGAACTCAAAAACATCTAAGATACTGTCTGTCTACTACTGCAAAAAAAAAAAAAAATACTGTCTGTGATCTGTTAGTCTTAAAGTAGGTTTGAAGTGTACAGACATTCAACAGCTTAACACTGATCCAAGAGTTGACATAGAACACACTCTTGCCAAGTTTTGAGCTTGAAAACACTCATCTTAACTCTTTCAACCATTTCATTTTCTGCTTTGTTGATGTTTACTGATTACTTTCATGGATTTCTTTATTTAACATGTTTTTAAAAATGAATATAAATAAATTTATTTTTAAATTAGTTAGTCAACTGTATAACATTTTTTTAGAGTATTTTTTTCCCGTTCCTTCTCCTGAGCGGTCTGGTCAAATTTTGTGTAATATTCAGCATTTCCTGCAATAAGCTCGACTGCAGTCACCCCCAAATTAAGTCTTTTTAATTTAGGTCATACTCCTTTTCCTTTTTTTAATTTTTTTATTACGAGGGAAAGTCAAAAAATATCTACACTTTTGACATAACTCTTAAACACTTACTTCTGTCCTTGTTTATTATATTGTTATACTGTTGTGGTAATGCTTTGAAAGCTGTATCCTAATTCCGCAATTTTTCTTCCTTCCGTTGCAGACAGATCATGGCCACTCCATTAGAAGTTTGCACTAAAGAGGAACAACCATCAGTGATATGATTCTTCTGGTTGGAGGGTGTCAAAGATTTCAAAACTCATTGTAGACTATCATCACAATATGAGGGACGTGTACTATTAAGTAAAACTGTGTGTTTGTGGATCAAAAAGTTTTAGTGGTCAACAGGTGTAAGGCATGAAGAGGCATCAGGCTGGCCATCAACCTCTACTACAGATGACAACATTCAGCAAGTTCAAGAGAAGGTTCTGGTGAATAGGTGAATTACCATCAATAAGGTAGCATCTGTGTTAAACATTAGTCATGGTTCTGCTAATCAAATCATCCACGACGAGCTTGGCTTTCATAAAGTCTGTGCATGGTGGGTACCAAGAAAGATTACTGCAGAACACAAGCTCACTCGTGCAAAATGCGATGCAAAAGTGGCTTGAAAACCAACTGAAAACCTTTTATTTGCTGCCATTGAGCAAAGAGCACTGATAAGGAGGGAGATATGTAGAAATATAATGTGTATAGTGAAACTATAGCTTCATGTAAATAAATTGTAGAATGAAAAGTGTAGATAATTTTTTTATTTCTCCCTCATATTTGATTACTTTTATTTAATTTTCAATCTGAGAATGGATTAACTTATTTCCCATAAAAGACAATGGGAAACTGAGTTTCATGATACAAACCTTTCAAGACAGAACCAGTCAATAACAAATTAAGTTTGTAAGCCGAAGTACCAACATACTCTGACTTTATGAAGACAAAACAGCTATTTACACTATATCTAGTCTGTACATGTATAATTCTTACTTTTGTGCACATCAAGCATAAATTTGTGAAAATGCACTCGTTGTTTCCTCAGTACAGAAGTAGTGTCGTAGAACATGTCCATCAACATAGTTTTACCCGTCCCTGAATGACAGAAACAGATCAAAGTTTTAGGTCAAGATTTTTAATGTTGACTGTAATGTTAAAACGGCAATGTACAAAAAGAAAAAACACTACAATCTGAAATTCTTCTTTGTATAATACACAAATTGTAAAACCCCAAAAAGTTGTAATATAAACAATAGAAGAATAAGAGTGAAACATAACTGCAAACAACCCATAACAGACTGGTAAGCTTCATCTTAAAACACACAAGGTGTGATTATTTCACTGCACGTAAAAACAAGTATAATTTTAGTTACTACTGGAATATGTAGTTACATTTGGACATTGACAGAAAGATAACATACAACTGTTTAACAATGTGAAATTGTTTAATGACTTTCTCTTACCCCCCCCCCCCCCCCACCCCCCCCCCCCCCTCAACCCCCTTTCCCAAGTCACAAAAGCATCTTGTAAAAGTCGACTCATTAGGGGTGTTTCCTTCAAAGTCATAGTGCATCTGCCTGAGAAGCAAAGAACCAACAGTTTGCATAACAATAAGCTAGATATGAAAAGTTCTGGAACAAGAACAGTCCTGAAGTGGATGTACAACCAGAACTTTCTGCAAGCGCTTACTGTTAGTAAAAGTGAAAAAGAATCCTGTCATATTTGTGACTGACACATTAAAATTTTTCTCTACATTTAGAATACTAAAAGACTCTCTTATATGTCAAGATAAATATACACAAATTCACACACTTAGTGTTACCTACTCACCAACACTGCCATACAAATAGAGTCCCTTCACAGCTATCTCTGGTCTGGCATACCTCTGTAGACCATTGTGCAAATTTTGATTTTACAATTGCAGTAGTAAATTACCAAAGCCAGTTATTCCCAAACTGTGCGCATGTGGCACCCTGGGGAGCCGTGACCTCTTCACAAGGGCATCAAGAAATATCAGAAGATACACAAGTTTTTTTGTTTTTTTTCATATCTTAAAGAATATACTTTTACTTAGGATAGGGCACGTGGAAATATTTTAATTGAAAAAAGTGCCGTGACCAAGAAAAGTTTGGGAAAAACTGCACTAAGCACTTAGCATATATTGTACAATGCAGTTAGATATGTGGTTAAATAAAACCGATTCTAGTGGCTTTATTACAATATGCTGGCAGCTTACCATCTTTTCTTTATATGGCAAATCAACAAGCATGGCATAATTAAACAGAACAACTGTGAGGAATCAAGATGCTATTGGGATCATCAGAAGTCAGCAGAAACAATCAGAAATGTATCGCACTTCATGGAGAGATGGTGGACAATATCTGCAAATAACTGAGGGAGCTCTTGTATGTCACTGGACTGAATCATACACCCTGGACAATTGGTAGGATGTGTTACCCCTAAGAACGCATCTAACAATATACAGTGTGAACCATTCACTG